AATTCTTTATAGGCCAAATAAGTACTTCACATGGTTTTATCATCACAGGGTTTCGTATTCGAAAGCTTCTGTAAGTTACAGAGATAATTAATTAAATTAATTACCACTAGCTATAATCGAACCGTTGACCTCGTCTGTGGAGAATTAGGCGCCTAGACCACTAGGCTATGGGACCCTAACCCCCAGAGAGTTTTTTGATTTGATTTTTTTTAAAAAAGTTATAACAATTTAAAGTTTTACTAATAAAGAGTAGATATCTTTTACTGTCCGGTACTGTATAAAAAAAGTTTTAAATATATATACTATATTTGCAAAACCCCAATTTCTATAAATTATCTGTGTTATATTTCACTATAATCTAGAGATGTTATGGTTCATTCTAAGTTAGTCTTAGTTCAAAAGATCAGGTCTGAAGGCAGACTGTGAACTGGATCAAGATTTATAAACTAGTTTACTAAACCAGTCTTAACTAGATTTAGTTTAGAATCGAACTTTGAACCGGTTCACCTTCGGCCAATAAAAATATATAATTTAGATAATTTTATCAAAGAATCGAAGTCTTATTTTTTTTATAAGATATAAAATTTATATTGATACATGCGAATTCATATTATGAAGCAACCAATCTTTTATTTAAACACCTTTAATACTGTTACTATTATGTATTATTAAGACTGTCTAAGATTATTTTTATTAATACTCTTAGATCAAATTGATTTTTCGATCTAATTTAACTAATCATATTTTATTCAATTTTACCTACTTTATTACTAATCTAGCTTTTAACACAGATACATACTCTTACTATTTCAGAATAAAGACGATTGTGAGTTCTTGAGATAGTATTACCAGCTAGAAAAAAGACTCGTTCACAAGCAATGCTAGTTGCTTGAACACTTAGGTAGTCAGATGCAAGTTTTGAAAGAATAGAGTAAGTTCTTTTATTGGCCTTCCACCAATCCAGAGGATCTGTATCTTCTTCAACAGGTTCTAATATAAGATAATGATCTAATTCACTGGTATTTGTAGTCGAAGTTTTTTTTTTTTTAATATTAAGGTGACTACTTAGGCCCTTGGCACTTTATTAGTACAAGCGGTAGGCCAATGTTAAT